TTTATAACCCAACCCGTCTAACCCGTCACCCGAGTTGACCCGACCCTAACCCGACCCAACCCGCCCGTTTGCCAGGTCTAATCGGAATGGTGGAGGTGATCACCCTCGTAAACTTCGACTTCTTGGAACTCATCCAGCAGATTTTCGGCCTCCTGAATCGTTTCTCAGGAGGAAGCTTAACGGTGGCACTGGTGATGGGATTTAAAAGATGAATGGCTTGATTGGCAACGGTGAGAAGCTAGCCATGAGAGGATGCAGTATACCATCCTCCCTGGAGTTGTGGTAGAAAAATCCTGTGGATTTTGTGGGAGCAATAGTCGTAGATCCATTGCCGGCCTGTTTGATTCTCCGACGAAAGCAATACTAATAAAGCATTGGATTTGAGTCCGGGATAGCGTAAATAGAGTAATCGAGCGGCATATTGCCAGGAGACACAGACCACGCGGAGAGCCAACTTGAAAATGACTTCTGGGTCGGTGGTACGTGACGACATCGACGGAGGAAGGGCTTATGAGCGAACTGTTAAAAGATAACGGAAGGATGGTGCCGATGTTAATAAAGGGGGTGATTTGCCACCGTAAGTGAGTTGAGGGGGTGATTTGCGCGTGAAGTGGGTTGAGGGGGTGATTTGCCACCAGTGATTGAGTTGAGGGGGTGATCTGCACCTTTTGCCTATTTTTTTCAAAGTCACACCCTTAAATTTTTTTTTTTTTGACCTCCCAACAGAAAGAGAACCCCTCGATTTTGAAATCGTGATTGTTAGGTGGTGTCCAGATATGGCCTCCCTAAAATATGGATAATGTTTGTCTTCTTTTTTTTTTTTTCTTTTAATTGTTTCCAATGCATGGCGTGGAATTCCCATACGAAATGGGCAGAAAATGCAAATTATCCTTTAATGTTTTTAAGTTAAAGCAAATTATTAGAGAAAAAAAGATGAAGTAAATTGTTAATTTAAAATTTCATTTCATAAAAATTGATTCAACAGTTGACATCCGTATAATTATTTTTTATTAAATAATTACTCTTAAATTCTAACATAAAGTTGATATTAATTGTTAAATTTAAGTCAATTTTTTTAAATAAAATTTTAAAATAACATTTTACTTATAAATTCAACAATCTTGGAGGACGATTTGAAAATTTAACCCAAGTAATATATGGTGGAATTGAATTAAGGTGTTGTGGATTTCTTTCTTTCTTTTTTTTCTATTTTTTTCTGAAAATAGGCAATGGAGTGGATTTCTTTCTGTTTTTTTTTTTTTTTAAACATCTATGGTGCTGTGGATGAAATTGACTTTTAATTATGCCATGGATAACATCCGTACAAACATATAAATATGGTTGAATAACGATCATACATATATTGCCAATTGTGAGCAATACAGTTCGGTTAGCTATCTATAACATCCGCAAAATACGCCATTCACCCCTTGAACCACCAACAAGAGTCTTCATTCATTTAAAGTTTGATGGTTAACTACAAATCTAGAAAACAAATTTTGAAATGATAAACATTTAACTTGATCAAAGAATAAGAACGTGCAACTGTTGATTTTTTTTAAAACAAGCAAAACATATCATGTGCGTGTACTTTTTTTATGAGAATTTTAATTGGTTTTGTTATTACAAGAATATGAAATGATTTTATTAATAAGCCAGAGAAATAGCAAAGATGATCACTGGACTGATCTTCTCTTTCTGTGCCACGAGTGTTAAGATGAGTTAATTAAAACTACTATATATCACGTTAAATAGTTAACAAATATTCTTATTTTTTATTTGAAATACGAATTCATTCATGTTATATGCTTGGACAGCTCATAGAGCCTATGAGAATTTCGGGAAATCCCTAATGAACAGTGACTAGCATTCATAGTGGGTCTCCTACGAATTATTGTCCAACCCCATGATAGAACACCATTTTGGTTATCAAGACAAAGTCCCACAATATGAGCTAAATCTACATGAACCCTAGTTATTGAGGCTACAACACCCTCCCACCATTCGAGAAAATCCTAGAAAAGCAAAAACCAAATCATATGCCAAAGGGAGAATTATTGACCTAGTGGCATAGTTCACAAGGTCTCCCAATACAAATAACACAAAACTTAGGAGTAATTAAATAGACCAAACCAACCTAAGGGACTAGATTGAAAATAAAATTAAAATTCACACTACAATGAAAACCCCACTAAAACTAAGGGCCTAACAATCTAGGCCTAAAAAGAGGGACAACACAAAACCAAAGGACCTAATATCTGGCCTTAAATGAAACACAATAAGGCTTAAATTTAAAACTCGTAAAAAGTTGGGGGGCTACACAATTATTCCCTTAATCATTTTCATCCTCCAACTATTCCATATCGTCCCCACTCCTCCCTTGATTTTAAGCTTCACAGAGCTTCCAAGGACCACCACCCTAGTTTACAACCTCTTATCTCCCACTACTATCATTGCCTTCTTGATCTTGTCCATGAGCCTCACAAGCCCTCTACCTCAAATTTTTAGACTAGAAATCATCATAGTAGCCCTCAAAACCTTCTTTTGGATCACACCACAACCTAGCTTCGCAACTAGAAATATTTTTTATTGATAAGAAATAGAGATTGTATTAATATATGAAATTGAAATTACATATAAATCCATGTATTGGATTTGGAGCCTATGGCCAAAATAGAAGCATATCCTGTAGTACAAGGTACAAACGAAAACTATGCGATGATGGATATAGACAATAAAGTATAGCAAGCTATCTGTACCTATTAATTATAATAGCAATTGTCGTAGAAGCATAAATAGAGCTACTAATGTAGAAAGAAAGTCATTATGAATATCTTGAGCTATTGGATGTTCTCAATTGTCATGCTAGCTTCTTGGAGAAAGCAGATAATTTGGCAAATAATAGTCCCTACCCACTAAATGCTATACCGAGGAGGATACACTAGTCCAAAGGGGAGTTAGAGTCTACTCAATGGGTCATTGAAAACATGCTTGAATTAATCCAAAAGAGAGTTTGAGTCTCTAGCAACCATTCGATCATGTCACCAACAATTGAAGTAAGTGGTGCAACCAATTCAAGCTTAACTAGCTGCACTACGACACTATAATCTTTTTCAAACCAAGGCAAAACCCAATGGAAAAACATTGAGAGAGTCTAGGTAAAGACCCTCAAAAAAGGGAGACAAAAAAACTCCCACAAAAAAGAGAAAGAATCTTAAAAAGAAAGAAATACTCTTACCTTTATCCATTCTCCCTAATTGTCAAAGGGGAGAGTCGCAGGGACTAAGGAGGAAAGAAAAGAAGGAAAGAGGGAAAGTATTTGGGAAAGAGAGGTAGGTAAGTAGAGTTGTATTCAAAAATGTTAAATATAGTTAATACTATAGATTTACTTTAGTTAATTTTATCAATTAATATATTTCTTTATCTTAAATAGCTAATTAAATGTGGTTGAAAACATTAATTCATAAGTTAATTTCAAAATGATATAAACTATTAAAGAATAACTATAACAATTAGTTGTTCCCCTCGGTTAAACTAAATCGAACCTAAATTATTTTTATTTTTAATAAGCTTATTCTTTTAATTGCAATTAAAAAAGTGTTAATAATTTAATTCTTTCGGATAATTCTCCCAAATCTCAACATGTAAAATGTAAATCATCATTTCTTTCTCCCAGCCTATCTTTTCCCAAATATATAATCAATCAAATCACATTTTTTATTTTATTTTTTTTAAACATCTTCCCCTATTTAAAATACCTCAGCCGCCCAGATTAACCATCCACGTTTCTCACTCTCTTTTTCTCTCTCAAAATATCTATCATCAACACCACACCACAAAACACTGCCATTTTCCACTCCATCGAGACAAAGAATCTCTTCACAAAACCAATAACAGTACCTCCATCATGAACTCCATCCTTTCCTCTTCCTCCATCTCCACCACCGTCTCCGGCAGTCCCTCCTAACCCTCCCCCACCGCCCTCTCCTCCCCTTCACCACCTCCCTCCTCCATCACACAACCCTAATATGAGTACCCTTGAAGACTCCCTAAGATCTCTTTCCCTTGACTACCTCAACCTCCTCATCAACGGTCAGGCCTTCTCCGATGTAACCTTCAGCGTGGAGGGTCGCCTAGTCCACGCCCATCGATGTATCTTAGCTGCCCGGAGCTTGTTCTTCAGGAAATTCTTCTGTGGGCCCGACCCACCATCAGGGCTAGACCCCGGAGCATCCCGGATGAGCCCGGCCTCGTTGGGTTCCCGGCCGGCGGTGATACCAGTGAATTCAGTGGGGTACGAGGTGTTCCTTTTGCTCCTACAGTTCTTGTACAGCGGTCAAGTCTCGATTGTGCCTCAGAAGCACGAACCCAGGCCTAATTGTGGGGAAAGAGGGTGCTGGCACACCCATTGCACCTCCGCTGTTGATCTCGCCCTTGAAACTCTTGCGGCAGCAAGATACTTTGGGGTTGAACAGCTTGCATTGCTTACTCAGGTTTAGTTCCTTTCCCAATCTCTTTGAGCGTCTCTTGAGTTTCTTCTCTAAAATTTTTAAATTTTTATTGAGTGCAGAGTTATTAGTAATTGGTCTTCGGATTTTGGGGTTTTGAGAAGTGGAATCAAATTTTTTTTTTATGGGTGTGTTTTTCAAAATTTTTACTATTTTTGAAGAAAAAATTGTTATATTTTGACACCAATTATTCTGCTCTCCCAAATTTCCTTTTCACTTGAACTGAAATTGGATTTGATCCTTCTCAACTCATGTGAATAGTACTCTCTCTTTTTCTGCTACACAAATCTTCTTTTTCAGCTTTGCCGAAAGCACTCTGGTAGTTTGATTTTTCACCATAACTCTCTCCATCAATTTCTTCATCATCTTGACTTCTTGTTCCCACAAGGACTTGATAGTCAAAAATCCATTTGTTTCTTTCGGTGTGATGAGATCTTCCTGAGATATATTTCTAACCCATATGGTAGTTTTTGTTGATTTTGTGTAAAGTTTCTTGAATTGGGTTCTCAATCGAAATGCAGCATGCCCAAAAGTCTTTCTAAATTTAGATCTTGATGATCTCTAGTCTTTTCTTCCCACAGTGAGCAGCCCATATGTTTGTGTTCCCTAACATTCACTTTCCTCCTTGGGATTTCAATTTGAAAAAATGGTAAAAAGGAGAAGAACCTACTACTGCACACAATCATTCACCAACCAATACCAAACACAATCTTTCCATTTATTAAAATTAAGAAAAAATAGTAAATTCTAGAAACATGTTTCATATCTCTGTCCAAATCCCATGAACATTTCTTTGTCTTTTTGTTTCTTGCCTTTTTATGTTTTACAGAAGCAATTGGCAAGTATGGTGGAGAAGGCATCCATTGATGATGTAATGAAAGTGTTGATAGCTTCAAGAAAGCAAGACATGCAACAGCTTTGGACAACTTGTTCTCACCTTGTTGCCAAATCCGGCCTCCCTCCGGAAGTCCTAGCCAAACACCTCCCCATTGAAGTCGTGGCCAAAATCGAAGAGCTCCGCCACAAATCCTCCTTGTCCCGCCGCTCCTTGCTACCCCACCACCACCATCATCAGTATCACCATGACCTCACAGCAGCGGCTGATCTAGAGGACCAGAAAATTCGCAGGATGAGAAGAGCATTGGACTCATCCGACGTTGAACTTGTCAAGCTCATGGTCATGGGAGAAGGATTAAATCTTGATGAGGCATTGGCCTTGCATTATGCCGTGGAGAACTGTAGCCGGGAGGTCGTTAAAGCTTTGCTAGAGCTTGGTGCAGCAGATGTTAACTACCCGGCAGGACCTGCGGGGAAGACTCCGCTGCACATTGCGGCTGAGATGGTGTCCCCAGACATGGTTGCAGTACTTCTGGACCACCACGCAGACCCTAATGTAAGAACAGTTGATGGGGTCACTCCACTGGACATTCTACGAACCCTAACCTCAGATTTCTTGTTTAAAGGTGCTGTCCCGGGGCTAACCCACATTGAACCAAACAAGCTAAGGCTTTGCCTTGAGTTAGTTCAATCTGCAGCTCTGGTTATTTCCAGGGAGGAAGGCAGCGTCAATGCTGCGACTTCCACTACCATTTATCCTCCCATGAATGATCAGGAACATAATAGCAGCAGTGGTGGCAGTGGTGGAACCAATCTTGCTAACCTTAATTTGGATTCAAGATTAGTTTATCTTAATCTCGGTGCTGCAGGTTCTGCACAAATGGGATCCAGAATGGAGGGTGATGAAGATAGCAGCCAAAATAGCCAAAGTGATGCAATGAGGAGACATGACCCAACAATGTACCATCACTCCCATGAGTTCTAATCCATCCTTTAAATATCTTTCTCATTTTATATATATCTCATTTCTATATATATAGAATCCGTGAATGGTGAAAGACAAGACCAAAACTAGATTGTTGGATGATTATAATTTTAATCATTGGTATGCTTTCACTTGGGTAGTTTTTTTATATGCGGAGAACTTAGCACTTTGCTATTACAGAATTTTGAATTCTTAATTTTAGATTATTTCAAATTATGGTTTTCACATGGGTGTTTCTTTTTTTTTTTCCCCCTTTGTCTTTTTTCCCCTTGTTTTGGTGATTTTTGTAGGTTTTCATGGTCATGATTTGAAGTGAAAGTTTGATTGGAGATGGAATTTTATTTTTTTGCTCAAAGGATGAGACATGAAGAATCTGAGATTTGCAATGTGTACATGTTGGGGGTGATGGAGGAGAGACGCAGGTCAATCATTTCAAACCCCGGCCTGTCAACTTCTTTGTATTTATTTATTGACAACATCTAATTTCATGCCTATTTATTCTTGTCCTTTATTTTTCTTGTCCCCCACCCCACCCACCTTTCCATCACACACCCAAACACACCCTATTTATCCCCATATTGATTAGAATATAAATGTTGATTAGAATGAAGATTTTGGATCCTAATTAATGGAGGTGGAGTTTCTTTGTTTCTCTTAGGCTTTGTTCGGACATGAGTATTTCTATTATCTACATTTTTCTAATGAAGGAAATTAAGCTGTCTTTCTTCCCTCTTCTCCTTCTCCCGCATCCCCCAGCACTTATGAAGACGCTTGATTAATGGGTACATTGTGTTTTTGTGCTAAATTATTTTAGAAAAGATGATGTGAGTATGGACAATTTGATTGGTTGTCTTGCATGTAGGCAACATCAATTGATTCCCTCCATGTAATCCTTCCTTTTGTCCCCCTTGCCATTTTTGGCTTCCTATATTATTTCTCAGAAAAACTTACGGATAAAACACTTAGCTTTGCTTTTTAATATATTTTTTCTTTCTTGTCCAAATTACTTGTGAATACCGATCAGCCATCATCACATTTGCTTATCCTTTGGGTTAGTATCTGCAATTTCCAGAAATATTAGCTTGTAAGGTTCCTTGAGCCATGAGCCATGAGACATGCATATTGTTCTCACGAGGGCTCATGCTTTATTCCTTCATTTTATTTTATTTTATTTTTTGATATTAAAATAGGAGGCAACCCTTTTCATTCATTTACTCACTTGTGTTTCTACCACTCAAATTCAAGACCTCTAATAAAAAATATTATCAATAAGTTACTTAAGTCATTGACTCACATTCTTTATTCTCCATTTTATATTATACATATGAATTTTGGTCATGAGAGCCCGTATATATGCTTAGCACCAGGATTTGAACCTTTAGTCTTGATTTTAACTGTTAGTGGGTATGAATAACTCTCTAATTTGGATTTTTATCTTGTGTTTAACAATTCATATAATTAAGTAGCTTGTTAATACAGTTTTGTATCTAGCAATAATACAGCTTTATTTTATTTGTTTTGAGCTTGAGTGCTCTTTCTTTAACCTACTACATGTTTAAATATTATTGAATAATTTAGTCTAATATGATGCATCTCCATGACAATTTACCAATGTTGATGATGTACTAAATATCCCTTACAATGTCATCCAACTAACTTTTTTTTCACCAAAAAAAAAAAACCCCAAGCTAACTTTTCCAATGTACTTGAAAAAAAACAAAAAAAAGATCCAGGTTGAAATAATCGAATCACCTACCACGAACATATAAAATGAAAAGACAAAATTACTATCACTAAGTTAATTGGAAAGATGAAAAAATGTAGGTTTAAGGAATACGTACGAGTACTAGAGATATAAAACAAAGCGGTGAACGAAGGACTAAGGAAATTGAAGAGGCCTATATAGCTAATGTCCTCCTATATGCACTCCCCACTCTAAGAAAAGTAAATCAAAGAAGAAAAAGGAGGGTTTGTTCTCAAGTACTGCTGAGTTTTTTTAGGCCCCATCTATATTTTCTTCTAGATCTGATGAGCCTGGAATAATGTGTATAAATATTGAAGTGATGGCAAGATCCAATCTTAAACGGTTCAAAATAGGTAGAAGAATGAGAAAGGAGAGAGTGTTATATTTTAGCTGTTTAACCCGTCAATCAAATAAAAAGAAATCATTAGGGACCAAATTGCAATTATTAAAAAGTTTGGGAGCTGATTAGATCAATTTATATAGTTAGAGATTATCCATACAAATACTCAATTTTTAAGAATTTGCTTGGTCTATACATTCAATGATAATCGATTGTTTATATAATAAGAGATATAGAGTTGTTTTTCCTTACATTCTTTTTACTTATCTCAAGATTTAAACTTAATGATATATTTGGTTTAAGAGAAATAAAATGAAGGAAAACTAATCAAATTATAATATTTAGAAACATTATAATTTGATTAGTTAAAAAATCATTTCTTCCCTCTTCTCTATCCTCCTCAAACCAAATATACTCAATCTAAAACCTCTAACACGAGGCTCAAGCTAAGCTCTTAAGTCTTAGCTCTCCTTTGTTACATCCTTTGTCTTCCCATGGTATAAGTACTTGTCTGCCTAGGGCTAGGGTTGTATTTCCTCAGTGTGGTGACTGGAGCCACGGAGGTTGATCGGTAGCAGGCGGAGAAGATTGGGTGCGAATAGAAGTATTTTGGTGGAAATGGTTCGAGAAGAAGGGGCTCATGTAGGAGCGGGTGTTTTGTTTTGCTGTCTTCTCTATTATATTAATCACTAGTAGAGGAGAGACACTATTTAACCATGACATATCAAGGGTATCTTGAATAAGCGTGTACTAAGCGATAGAATTTTTTTTCTTTAAAAAAATTTATTTTAGGGCTAAGACTTAGGAATTGATAGCACATGTATAGTTTGCCCAAAGAAATTTCTTTTGGCAATTGTCCTTATGAGCTTCACGAGTTCATTATGAGAGGGACAATATATAGTCCATGCTGTTTGCGGTTACATTTACTAACAAATTAAAACTATATGGTAACATTTCTCAAAAAAGAAAAGAAAAAACTATTCCCCTCTCTCGGATTTAATTGTCCTAATTAAATTTTTGAATAAAATTTAATAATATAATTTTATATAACAAATAGA